TGTACTGTGGCGATTAATGACAACGTGTAGCGTAGCGGGTGGGCGCAAGAAACGAAATTGCCGGTCCTGGAGTTAAGTTCAGCATCAATTGAGCCTTTATATGTACAGCGGTAGCCCATCAAGCGTCAGTCGCCCGCGGTAACCAGGATTGTAGTCAGCGCTCGTCTCGTCAAGAGTGCTAACATAACGATTGCGACCCTTACGTGTCCCGTGTGTCCTATAATGGGCGTTGAGGTTGTCGCGACGCGAGAACGCGCGGAGGCACTCAGGCACCCAACAGACGTAGGATCTGTCGCTATAGTGGCTCTCCAGATGACGCTGAAGATTCCCCTGACGCTTGAAACGCCTCCTGCAACCCGATTCCGTGCATTTAAAATAATATTGCCTCATATAATTCTGTGGAGCTTCGAGATCTGTGTCGATACCAAGCTGTTCGCTAGAGACGTGATTGTATGTCTGGCGAGGATCACAGCATAACAAACCACTATTCTTTCGACGGATCGTTCCTTGCGATCCTTTCGACAGAAATGCAGAGAAAGAGTCAAAATAAGCAGCTACAGGGGGATCATCAGCGAGCTGAAGATGTGGTATTTCATGCGTAAAGACCTGGGTTGGATCGATAGTCTGTGTCTCCAAAGAGTCGCGAGCTGACAGATACTGGACAATGTTGTACGTTGGCTCTGTGGCGGGTATTTGTTCAAGTTGACAGAAGGTTGGTCGCCAGAAGGAAAGACTGGAGGCCGGCTCAAAAGGATGTTGCTTTTCAATCGACATGGGGGCTTGACAAAGCGAGCGATCTGCAAGATTATAGATTGGGAGTACCTCGCCGTCGAGCCGCCCGAGGGGGGTTGAGGTGGGAAAGCGTTGGCCCATCTTGCAGCAAGCCCAAGGCAGGCTGTCAGCTGTTAAGCTTTGCAAAGATATTGCGTCATGACTTGTATTCACCCTAGAGCTGGGGCTAGTATCTGGCCAGAACGGTACGGCTTGTGTGTCATGAAGGGGCAAGGGAGTGGTAGTGGGAGCTGTATAGTTCGATCCAATATCCGATCCACAGAATGAAGGCTGAGGCTCTGGTGAGGAAGGGGATGGTATTTCGTATTCCCTGTATTGTTCCGCCATACCTCCTTTCTACTTTGATACGGTAGTAATTTAAAACAAAATCATTTGCGCACTCCGGAGAGGCGGCATTTGGGGTTTTACCCCCGACCCTGGACCATGATGCAGAGCACGCGGTGACCCTGGAACGGATAGCGCCGCAAACAAAATTGGCCATGACCGGCTCTTCCTTAGTGGCAAGACAAAATAAAGGAATGTTCGACCTGCGTCCCTAGGAGCTTTAGATTAGTCGAAACGACAACGCCTTTCATCCTTTTTATTGTAAGCCTTATACTTCATAGACCTAGCTTCATGTTGTACAATACATGTAAAATGGGGCCGCAAGATCTGAGCTCGACCGAGCCCGCATGTTCGCGGTCTTGGTCTTGTTTAACCATGTTTTTGCGGTTCTTGCAGCTGTCTCGCCCAGAGTAACAGCCTGTGGTGTACCCAAGTTAAATCAAATCAGGATCTTCACTGTCGTGAATCTACAGTAATCTCGTCAAGCTGTACGATCCGATGTCCACGGTTGCACAGTTTGACCACAATCTTCAATTCCTCGGCACATTTGGTTTCTTGATCGGTAATGTTTTGAACTATAATGGAGTTTTAATGAGGGCCTATGTGGATTATTTCAAACTCGATGTCCGAGTCGCTGCAGAAATATAGAAGCTTCGACCCCATGATCCTGCTCACTGCGTTACATGCTCAGAATGATTCATTAGCCTTGCGAGCCGGCCTGGGTCTGAATCGTGACGCTGTCTGGGGCTTCTCAATGATGAACGTTGCGTATCATTGTCATACTGTACCTCGTGTCTCGTGATAGTCACTGACGATCATGCGGTGCTCTGGCTTCAGGCTGATTCTCTGAAATATCTTAGCTTTCTATAGCCAGAAGTGTATTGTCCCCTTCAGAATTAAGACAATTGGTGTCAACACAACCCCAGGCTAGCAGGACTTGAATTGCCACATGATCGCCGGAAACTATGTACCGCCCGATGCAACAGTTGGTTCAAGTTATCTTTGGCTCTGGTACTAGCATTCACCTGAGGATTTGAGAGGAGAAGTTGCAAATTGTGATATTGCTCATGGTTGAACGCTACCAAAAGAGGGCACGGGACCCTGCAGCCCTGACCATGGAGGTCAATCTCCGGTAAATCCAGAAATCGCTTGACAAAGGAACCGCTGCCTCGTTTTATTGCAATAGTCAAGGCCGTTTCCTCGTCTCTATTGCGAAGGTTGACATTGATGGAATTCTAGGCTCAGTAGGAGGTCGACAGCAGCGAAGTCTCTTACCTCAACTGCCAGCATGACCGGAAGGGGGGGGGTGGGATTTGAGCCTCTCCATGTGGCATTGATATTTGCGCCGTACCTATTCAAGAAAATTTTTCACCTTGTCTCTCTTGTGGCAAGCCATTGCTCGGTATACAGGAGGTTGTGGCTCGCCAAGTAAGTGGTAAATGCTGTTTTCGATAAGACACGAATATGTTGTATGGCAGACAAGACATAGATGAATGATGTCCTTTTTGTCTATAAAGTCTCCAATTCAGTAAAGAAGCTCTGGAGGAAGCATCAAGAGTGACATGTTCTCAGCGGAGCATGGGAATGGCGAAGTGAGTGGCTGAACTGCGCGAAATATACCAAAGACGGGAGACGTGACTTTCGGTTGCCTGGCTCTGGGAGACATCGAATGAGGTCCAGTGGTGGGCTTCAGGGATTCGACAATACAATTTCCGGAACCTGGTGCTCGGTCCATGGAGCCGAAAGCTTATCTCAAATGAACTTGGATGCAGATAGCAAGTTATGAGAATCAATCAAAATGAACAGCAACTACTGTACTGTACATCACAGCCCAGATAGGTCTAGTCTAGGATCACGTTCAGAGAAATACAGCTATACGGCAAGTAGAATACAAAGGTACCGGTCCAATAGGTAATATCTTCAATCCATATGATTTCTCACAACCCTGCGAGGGCGGCCACCTATCTCGCGTGCACGGCACTGGTAAAAATGTTCAATTGTACAATCAGGTTTAGACAGACATTTTCAAGGCCACACCCAGCCTGACCTGATAGCCCAGTAACCTAATCAGCCCTCTCATCCTCAATGATTGCAGCGTTAAGCGCCCGATCTTTATCTTATTGTAGAAGGGGAGAAGGGGGGCCCTTCCACTGTGCTTTGATGCATTGTCCCCTAATCTGCCAATTCCCAAACATCCACGCTGAGACAATAAAGCAGAAGCTCAACAATACTGATGTATATGTTGTCACGAAGACACCCCCCCATCCAGGGTTTTTGCCAAAATACCAACAAGCCATCCCCACCAAGAATTCCACAATTGCCAAATCAAGCAGCGTCAGTGGTGCCCATGCGACGGCAAGCTCGAATCCCGTTATTCTTTTAGGGCCGTCAAATTGAAACAGTAACATAGTTGCCGCGACTGCAGCAATGACCGCAGTTATTACCGAACTGCAAAGACACCCCTCGGATAATTCCACAAATCGAGAATTCGTTGGATGAAATTCGCTGAAAGTCAAAGCGCCCACCGCAAGACAGCTAATGAGAGTTGCGAGGCCAACAAATAATTTGTAGAACTGGTTCATTCTCTGAACCACCGAGTTTGCCCCGGTTCCAGAAAACTCATCGCACTGCAGCGCCACCATATTGCTTTTCAAATTAGTCTTTTCATCTTTGATTAAGATTGTGATTACTGGACAATGCAAAATTTGTTGTTCGTTGGCATCGGTCGCGGCCACCAACCGTTGAAACAACGTGGTGTGGGTCAGGTCCGCTGTTTGGTGGAAATTGTCAATTTACACCGACCTCATGAAAGAGCCGTGCAGTGAACAGTAAAAAATTTTCGTTGGAGTACCACTAAGGAATAGTCGTTGCGGTCTTTAGAATTCTATACGGAACTTGGCACTTCGACTTATATCACCATGTCAGTGATTGGGTGCAGGCGATCCGGTGTAGCGAATGGGTGGATGGTCAAGCCAATCCTAGCGAACAACTGACCCCATTCTATCCATTTATATTTACCGTCGGCCACGGATAACTTGTACACCATGGATCGAAAACAGATTCACCACTTGCACACAGAAATTCTATCTCGAACCCTTCTTCGAACCCTACCATACCTAATACGGTTACTTTACCCCTGACCCCGTGTCTTGGCAGTATGTCAATACAAGCGTAAGAAACAACCCGGAAATAGATCTATATAGAGCTTGTAAATTACAGGCAATGCATGTGTCCGAAAAGGGGTGTTTGTTTGTGATAGGTATATATCCCATTGGGCGACTGCTTTTCATTTCTCCACTTTGGAGTAGCGAACTTAGTGCCGCCATTTTCAAGCCTTCATGTCAATTAAATGCCGGTCAGTACTTGCGTTCGAATTATTGTCTTATTTGTGAGTCTTGGCAATGGGGCTAAAGGATATATCATTCTATGGTACCTCTCCAGTCTCACATACCACATTATGATCGTAATTCATAGTAATAATATAGCTTAGGGTCTTGAGTTGAGAGGAGCCCTTTTCTCATATACACAGCCAGCCTACCTACTGCCGTCTTCCTCTTCCCCGCGCAGCCGTCTCTCCAGGTCGGATACAGCGCAAAGAGCCGTCAAAAGAATGTTTGAACACACCCGGGGTGGATATATTTACACTTGGCTACAAAACCCGTGATTAACTCCGAGTCACTGCATGAAAATTGAGCATTTGAATGGGATGAAGTTCAAAATGCTCCCTTCATTCGAGATCAAATACGTTAAATATGTCTAAGCAGCTAGATGATTCTTGGGATCCAGAGAAACAGCATTCGTCCAACAATCTGAGAACCTTTAAACTAGACAGAAACATTTGGAATGTTGCAAATGAAAGCCGAAATTATTGGGCTGAACCTCTCTTAGCCCGCTTGGACACGAACAAATCCATCTTCGCCCGGAATTGGCAATTTCTTCGCCTCCAATATCTTCGTTCTTTTCCTGATCATTTTGCGGGGGAGATTCCCCCAGTTGGCATACAAATCCCGGTGTGTCTCCGAAAGTGTACTCAGGCTTACTGGGACAGGTTCCGGTTCAATCTGGTACTCGAAGGGGGGTTGCTCGGGAGTGAACGGATTCTGGGCGGCGGGCTCATTGCTTGGAGGATGAGAATGGCTAGCGTCACCCTCGGCATTGAAGGAGTACTTCTGAACGAAACCCAAGTCTGAGTACTGGAATTTAGGAATAGCATGATATCGAAAAGGTTCTCCCTTGGTCTCCTCGACAGGCTGTTTCATAGCCACATCGGCGAGTGCTAGGTACTTCTGAGGCTCGTCGGCAGGTTCCTCGACGGACGCTTCAACCAACTCTTCCGCCTCTTCCAAAGAATCCTCAGGGGTTGCCTCAATAGGCTCCGATATAGCCTCCTCCGCGGACGCTTCAGCCAGCTCTTTCAGCTTGTCAGAAGAATAATGAGGGGGCGCATCGGCAGGTTCTTCCACAGGCTCCGCCATTGATGCTTCAACCAAATCTTCGAAACACTCTTCAGGGGATGCTTTGGTAGCATAATCAGCAATTGTTTTCTTTGATGCTTCAATGAACCGGTTCGCCTCGGTCAAACTCTCATGAGCAGTTTGTAATTCAGCGGATTGTAATCTGAACACCATTTTCATCACAGCAAGATCAAATCCATGGACCTTGCCAAGAACCTGGTAAAGTTCTTCGAGATTAGAATCCGACCCCTCAATCTTTAATTGACGCTGCAAACTTCTTTCGATATATTTTGGAAGCCAGTCTTCATCGTCCGGTAGTGCTGAAAACACGCCTCTCGTGGTTCGAAGCATGTCAGACATGGCAACCTCCTCACCAAAAAGCTCAATGTAGTGTTTAGCAAGAGCTTCTAGATCAAGGAGCTCATGAATCCTTGCTGCTTGGTACACTAAAACGGCTTTCCTATATTCTTCCGCTATACCAGAGGAGTCGAATGCGACAGGATCATCTATCGTCTGGTAGGTTCCTGTGTATAGGAAATTGACAAAAGTGTGCGCCACGTCTCCGCTAATATCTGATAGGGCGGTAGGGCTGGACATATAATGAGCCTCACGGAATCGTGGAATCTGACGGCAAAGGCGATCCGGGATGCTGAACATTTGGCTTCCAATGATAACATTGGTCGTTGATCCTTCATAAGGACTGTTAGAGGGTCAGTAAACATGGCAATATCAGGTTGAACCTTCCAGAAGCTTACGATTCAAGTGGTTGGTGATAGTCAATTTTCGATGATTTTTCAACCCAGGGTGGAGGCTCATCTGGAGGAGGACATTCGGGGTCTATCTCCGCCGCCATGGGTTCCATCGCTTCAACGGGCTCCGTCGCGGTCAGGGCTTTGTTAAATTTCTTTTTCACCATGATTATTTCTGAAAGTTCTGATAGTGACAAGTGGAGGAGAGAAAATTCTTCCCGTCCTTCAAATATAGAGGGTAAAATACCCTGGTCGGAAGATGAGGGGTAATGCAAGGATGAGTTGTTCAGCAGGGCGTTGAGACACGTCACACGTATATCATGGGATTGGTGCCATTATTGGTTTCTGAGCCTTCTGAGCCAGTCATCTGTGCCTTGAGTATAGCCCCAACAATGCGTCCTGGATTGATTTGTTGTCCAAGACTGATTTGTGATTATATTGTTGGGGTATCGTGTCTCTCAGCCCCAACGTTTGCGCTACCGACTGTACAAAGCATCCGTGACGTACGGGCTCACAGGTCTCGAACTAGTACTTGCCAAAGAACACATAAAATCCTTGAGGCAATGCCTGCCGAGAGCTGTCCTGGACTCGAGCAGGCTACTGAAGATCATTTCTCCAGAGCAGAGTTAATTCTTAGCCCCTCAAGCCATGCGTCTCAGCTTCATGCAGACTATTTGCTAGAGGACGTTTATTTGTACGAAGGGTGGGAAAATATTTTGCCCAAAATAGAGGAGAGTAAGAACAAGAAAACTCAATGCCAAGGGTCTGCCTGTGCCAGACAAAAGTGGCGTTATTTCGACTTTGGTGGTCTAAATTGGCTGGCCATTTGTCCTGATTCCTAACTATGAGTTATCCTCGCAACGACCCCTGGAGTATCCAGCCCTTACTATTCTTTGACTCTTTCCAACTGGCTTTTGGTCTATTAATATTACTGTCATGTACTAAATGATTGTTTGCACGACTATAGCCATATTCAATATTCATCATTAGTACAGCAACTCTTGTCTCCACATTGGGGTAGATGAAAGGGTTCCAGTCACTGAGGCGCACGTGGCAGAGGTCGATAACCACCCCTCCGTTTAATCACCCCCCTTTGAATTTAATCGTCTTTCTGCCAGATTCTTTTCGTTTCTGAAACCTTCCTCGGACGGTCCCTTGGAAGTGTTCCGCCTATGGACTCGACTTCGCACCCCTGGGCGCAGAGCAGGCTGTGAAACTGAATTCCCTCTAAAACAATAGTACAAGGCTGCGATCGATCGTGTACGTTGTCCGACGCAATCCTTAATCCTTCGAAGAGGAACTTGTGCCTTTGACCGATTGAAAGTTCACGGCGATTGCTTCTCTGCCCATTCAGATTGCCCCTGGAATACAGAAATTCACGGTCGCACAGTCGAGCGTGACAAAACAAGACAGACTACCTCAACTGTGAAATTTTGATGATCATCATTCTGTTCTCGATTATTCCAAAGCACATCTGAAATGCGAACCTTGATGAGATCAATCATCAAAGGATCTAATTATACAGTGGATTTCGAAAACAGTTTACCCCCCAGACACACACGTTTACTCTCCCAGAGACTCACTTTGGCGCCTAGTCCGGATCGCCCGTGCTCCAGATTCCCCCGCAGCCAATGATACGGTGTCTTACCTCCGAGAAGGGGCCTTATCTAGCCAGAATTAGCTTAGCGCAATCTTAGTGAGGGGCTGGGAATGAAAGCGTGTGTCTGGGGGGTAATCTGTTTTCAAAATCCTCTGTAATGATGTAAGAGCGCACGCGTGAGTAGCCATACCGCTAGGGGCAATTTGGTAGGAGAATGTAAAAGCGTTTCAGGTAATTTATTAATCTTATCGCCTCATAACACGGTATTTCAATACAATACCACATTTAAAACTACCCTAGCCAGGATGCAGACTAGTGTGTTTTGAACAAGGGTTCGAGATTGATTTTCTGTGTGCAAGTGGTGAATCTGTTTTCGATCCATGGTGTAATGTGCCAAAGTCATAATCTAGAACAGACTTCTTTAGTCCGTATAGTATAGTGAATGCTTCTTTCGTGACTGGTAGAGGAATTGTGAGAAATGATTCCTTCTGTTAGGGATATACACGAGGCGGCCTTTAAATACTATCTTCGTACATGTGAATCATTCTGCCTAGGATGACGTATCTTCTAATTACTCATCTAACCAATCATTAAGAAAGCTTTAACGATTCGAAATTTGTATTAATTAGTATATGATGAAATGAGTGAAGAATGTGGTTAGATAGCGCCTATTTATGCGAAAGAGCTTTTTCTACCTTGGGTAGACATCAGAATCAAACAAGTATATTCCGCTTTGATGATGGCACTATATTATCTAAAATTCTCTACAATGTTTCGGACAAAGAATTGCGGGTTAAGTATCAATAAATTAGCTGTGGGGATGCTTTGTAATTCTATGTCGTTTGTGATAAGATCCAGTATTTCCTCTTGCCGTGGACATATGTGCAGCTGAAAAAAATAGCACCTGGTGGCATTATGGCGATACTTGATTTCCTGGACCTACTCCCGCATCTAAGCAAGACTGCCTGAGATCGACTCTGTTCGAGAAAGACAAAAAGGGTACTACTCTATTAGGTCTCCCGATTGTTTCGTTAACCGATAGAGCCAGAAATCGACCTAGTGCATTCTTTCCTTAAGAAGATACGCTGAAATATAGTGGAAGATATTATTAGCGCACGTGCCTGGTGATAGTGGATCCGGACCAGGCTAAACGTATAAGATCTTGTCTTCGTAGGTAAAATAGAAAAAGTAAGCAATTAGGGCTGGAGAGTCGGTATTAGGGGGTTTGCTAGACTGATAACCGGGGAAACCGTGACTAGTTACCGGACTAGGGGGCGGCGTTGATATGCTATTAAACTCTCGCCATAGTGACTTAATATTTAGATCAAGGTGATAGTCTAATGAGAAGTGTAAGTACGTGGTTTTTTATATCGTAGGGTCTCGATATACCGAGTGAGACGGGCGATCCTATTTCTGATATTGCTAATGCGTGATATTGGTAGACTAGGTAAAGGAAGGGTTTTAGAAGGAAAGGATAGGAATGAGTATTAAGAGGGAAAATCTAGAGAGGAATAGCTTAATATATCTTATATATGCATTAACTAAGCACGTAGTTATTGGCTTCGTTAAAAGATTGCTTCTAGTTCGCCTCTAGAGGTGACCGGTCGAACTAACTATTAGTCATATAGTACTTTACGTTGAACTATCTCCTAGGAACTTTAAGAAGAGAAGAAATGTGGTGAGCTTCGTGTAAAATTAGGTTAGGGAGAACTGGCATTTGCTAACTCACCAATGTGAACTACTGGTTCGTTTTCTGGCTTCTACCCTTTAAGTCCAGAGCCGCTATAGTAGTCCTATGTACTTTGCTAAAAAACGCTTGGGTACTTCCGCTGTATCCTAACCATTAGGTCCTTAACGCCGTTTATTAAGACTATTAGATGGCCGTTGACTAGCTGGGGAGATAGTGGTGGGCTAACGGGCCGAGTAGATACCGACCGCGAATTAGACCGTAAGCGCAATACTCCATCGGCACTAGTACGCGGAGAGGGCATTTTGGCCGAAGCATACACTGTTTGGATGAGATTGATTAACTATGGATGTATGATCTAATGATTGTGGAGATTTTTCGGACACTGAGAACGCTAGGTATCCATAAATCCGGGCCTGTATTAGTAATCCCGCGCTTTTAGCATGGAGGATGGTAGAAATCAAAATACTAGACTAGCCTGCTAGATTTTCCTATTGGTTGCTTACGGTCCAATTCATGGTGTAATAAGACTTCACGGTCATATCGCTGGTGATGGGACGGAGGAACTGTGCGTCGCGTTCTGCTTAATCGGTTGGATTGGGGGCGGTCAAAATTCCTTCGTCTCTAGAGTCTAGTCTGGTTCGCTTGAGCTATCTGTCTATTAGGGATTGGTTTCTAGGCTATGTAAGGCGGCTTCTTCTCCAAAGTCTGGTGTCACCGTAAACATCAGAGGGACTGCTATAGCACAATAGAAAGAAATGCCCTTAGTAAAGGTTAGCGGTCGGTCGCAGCACACCTGAAGCTGCACTCTTGAGTCTATTCCACTGAGTCCCGATAATGGGCACTAGTTCTTCGATGTTCTTTATCTATGGGCTAGGTTATCTATAGACTAGGAACTGGTCATTATATTGATCGTTGAAGCCTATGCCGTTAAAAGCGAGTAAAAGGCAAAAACCCTAGAAAAACCCTAGAAAAACCCTCTTCACCACCTCCACCGCTCTCTACTGCGCTTACTTTACTTCCTTTGGAAAATATCAATACCTCTTTATTTATGTCACTTATATTTGCCTGTGAACTCACTTGAGATGAAAGGACCATGGTTTGTAAATGGCCCTCATAAATCATCTGACCTTGGTCTCTGCCTCTAGCGTTGAAGTAACGTAGTTGAGGTCGGCGCCTGGCGGGTCTAACTGGTGACCTACTAAGCCCCGTATGAATTTATCGACTTGACTAACCTTAGAAAAGAGCAGGTGTGGTGGATAACCACCGACCACTGTGGAAGCACCCACTAGGATTCTACTTATTTTAATTCACTTGAGGACACTGGTGTGGCCAGAATGCAGCGCCTTAATTTACGCTGTTGTCGTCGGGATTGTGATATGTAGCCTACCTATGCTCATCTGACGCTAATCTCCGTAGACAATCGACTTGGCCTCCTCGTCGCTCCTGGTCAGGTCCGCCTCTAACCGCCCCCTGAGGACGGATATGCCTGGTCCTTTATGGAATCGAGGGCTTCCTTGTTGAATTCGAACCTGAGTAGCGGGGCGGTGGGTCTGTTATAGACTATCTGTAAAGAGCTCGGTCGCTTACTTGAGGCTGTCTCGCCGCAGGCCCTGTAGGGGCTTTAGTCTAGTCTTAAAACCGAAGGAAGAGTTGTAGCAAAGGTGAGTTGCGTGGCCCCTTTCGAAATCCATCTATTTATCTAACGCTGAAGGTATTTGGAAGTAGCGGATAAACCGTGATGGCGAGTTAGATGGGTCCTTTACCGCTAAGCTACATAATCTTGAATGTGCTAATCATAACTTGAGCCTTATGCTAAATCGCACGCGCGCTCGTTTGGAAGAATCTGAAAGTGAAGGGCGTAGTCTTCGTGCCTAAATCTGCGCACTTTAGACTGAAATAGAGACTGTGGTATCTTAGTCTGACCATTGGAAAAGGGAGCTGGTCCGGGCGAGAATAGGTATGGCGGAGGCAATGTAAATGTTGCAGACACATACCAGGATACCGCTTTGAATGATGATATATAAGAGACCTTTGCCTAACTGGTTGCGATCGAGATGAGAAATCCTATATATCATAGAGTGATGGCCACTTAAATTAAGTCAACAATATAACGCGACTTAATATTACCTGCTTAAAATGTTCTATTGTAGCTTAGTTAGCTATGATTGTTGACCAGCGAGGGATATGTGGTCAGAATTTCACCTCTAGTTTAACCCTTGAAATAGGACATTATTTGATATACGTCTCTATACTTTCCCATAGATCCTTCACGCTCTACCATATTTTTGGGGTTGATGGACTAAGTGTAACGCTAACGCAGTTATCCATGGGTATTGAGTGGGCGATCTCATTTGCTGTATATGTGTTGTACTTGTTTACATATCATGATTTATTCAGGACCTCATCACCATATCAACGTGAAACATAGATAATATAGGTGTACTTAGTGCACTAAGTATTATTGCCACACCGAGCCTATGAGACTAAGACTAATTTTTTCGCGCTAGACGAATCCTACTATCTTTAGGGCTGAGTCTGGTTATTAAAGCCCTAGATTGCTACAGAGTCCGACTATAGGGACCTAATAAGGCTTATTATTAGGCGGCGCGATCTACTTAGGTCTTATGGATCACTATCTTCACTATATAACTACGGGACACCTTATTATTCCACGGTTAAGCCTTTGCCCCCGTATTCCAACATAAGCTTTATTGATTGCCACACTTTTGGTCGAATATCTAGAATCCTTATCACCGTGAAATGCGTATATAGAGGAACTATGTTAGCGAACAGAGTTAAGAAAAAGGTTTAAGAGACTTTAGAGAATACTTAGTGAAACAGATCTCGATTCGTTTTATAGGGTTCCGTAGTCAGACTTCGAAGTTTATCCAAATATCAAGTTCAAGCGATAGAGGGAATATAGCAGCTTAGAAGGTGGATGGATTATTCTGACTGTATAAAATATTCTATTTGACAAGAAACTCAACGTATTGACTGGAAACATCTAGCATACATACTATTCAAGGGGGACTACCAACTGTGAATCACGCTACTACCCTAGCTATTGTTCCATTATAGGTATAGGGGAAATTGTATGTTGTAAGGAGATTGAGAAATTCTAGAGCATCACTTTGCGACTCCTTTAAACCATAGAATGATACCGTCGGCCTTCCTTTATTATCCTGGAGTCGTAGGAAAGTGCACCCGTCTGTGTGGTAAAACCGCACTTCCTAGCAAGATTTATATCCATCAGTCTCGATGGACTAAGAGCTACCTATAAAAAGCGTTAGGCGATAGAGAAGAAGCGAGGACGTTATATAGTACAAAAAGCCATAATCTCGTAATAAGCTTTCGAAATGTTCCAGTAAATGGCGCTGGTCGGATTCTTAAGCATCCTCCAATTCAAACTCTTACGTAGATAGGTTCCACCAAAGATTTTCGTCTCCCTATTTCACACACTCCGCCTGCCGTCTTCGAGCTAATTCTGTTCGATCGGGCCTCACGAAGTTCCATTTATTTTTTAACTTTTCTTATTGCTTAGCGGTAGCGTCTAACTCATTCTTAACTAACCGGTCACCCTCGTGGTAATTCTAAAGCACCACAAGATTAATCCAAGGGAATGATCTTAAGGCTTCGAAGTAGATCATTTAATCTAATTCTGAAAGACGTTTAAAGTCTTTAAATAGGCTGATTGTACACGCAGTTCGATCACCCCGACGCTTTACTCTAGCCTCGGCCAAGGTCTTGGCCGATATTCTATGAATGGGTGTTAAAGAGGAGTCCATGTTATATGAGTAAACTTAACAAAGAATGAACTTTTCGACTCTAAAAATCGGTAATTTGGGAAGTATGGGAAGACCAGCGAACTTTTCCCTAATAGAACTCTTTCTAGGTGCCGAAGGAAAGGGAGAGGTGCCGAAAGAAAGGAACTGTTTTAAGTTTAAAGAGGGGGTGTAGTAAAGGTAAGGAATAAGAGAAGGGTGGCCCTTATATATGCTTTTAGGCTACTATAAATAGATAGTAATATGGTGAGATTATAAGAGTAGACAACTGCAAAGATTATGCCATACTTCACTAGTCTTAAGGGTACCATTTTATTGCGTAGGTTCCTAGGAGCTCTTAGAAAGCCGCAAAACATTCCAACCTATAAAGAGCATCGGAAACTGGAGGGCAAACGAAAATCTCTAAAACTAGTGCCTTCAATTGCTGAGTGCTAGCATCTCATATTTCTCATGATCTTCAAACACGGCCTACTTCAATAGAATAAACGTTACTCGATTTTCATAATGCTCTAGTTAATATAGAATTCATGCGCTAAGATATAAGTTTAAGCAAGCCATTATATTATGTCGCCAGCGAAATAAGATATAAGCACCGCCTAGGTCATACTTTGCATAACTAAAGCTAGAAGACCTTATTTCAGCTCTAGGCAGTGCATACTATATTCTGTATGAAAAAAGCTCAATATCCAGATCACAAACTCATTCAAGGCAGATAATGGTCCAAAGGGAAACATCAAAGAAGCAAAATCGAGATATAGAATGACACCAAAAAAACACTAAGTTTCCGGATTGAAAACGCTATTTTCGCGGTCCCTCGCGATATGTAAGATGGGATAGATGGGATGGGTACTAGATGGCTTACTGCGGTGATACTATTATAAGTAGTAAATGCCATAGAAGAAGATCTTAGGAGGATTATAGTCTCTATGGCGGAAACATCCATCAAATTGATTTTTGATGCATAAGACGCTTAAATAGAAACAGCTTAGTATCCTAAATAGAGACTATAATAGTCATATAAACCTATTATAATACTATTTAATGTTAGAATATAAAGATAAAAGTCTACGAAAAGGACTCAAATCCTTACTTTCCGTTAGTGACAGAATTTATGGAGCTAGAAGGCATATTCCATCTCGCAATATCTCCCGGCGTGCTACGAAGAACACTGTTCCTAAATTTAGGGTAGGTCACTAGATCAGCTGTCAGGCGCTTAATATATACTAGATGTTTGGCCACGTACTCATTCTAAACTAACACGTGCTATTAAGTAGCTGAATAATAAAATTTAAAGCCTTTAGGGCAGCTAGCAAAAAGAAAATCTTACCTTTAACTAATTTCTTATCGGCCTAGCAAGCGGGATGACTTCTTTTACATGCTTCGATTGATGTTTTAGTAATACTTGCTTTCTTTTTTTCCCAAATTACAGGAAGCGAACTTTCACTAAAGTGCCCAGGCCTACCACTACTTCTCTCCTATAACTCCACCGTTAATACATTAAAGAATCCTGGAATTAGAAACACAAGCTGCTTAAAATATAATAGCCTATAGAATTAAAAACGAATGAAATTATGCCCTTAATTGGTATAACTAGGCCCTTTCCCTGAGCGATAGGCATGGTATTGACTTACTAGCGGCTAGATATGAACAGCAACTAAAGGATAGATATAAGTGATACACTTCATTTTTAGTGTATCGCCTCTAAGAAAATTGCAAATTGACTTTACACCATCCTGATAACGCTGCCTCTAATGTAGGTGCAATCAGCCAATGGTAGTAAAATAAAGTTGTTTAATCAAGGCGAATCGTGAGAGAGTAGTTACCGAATTCACTAATTTTAGGAACTAATATCGGTAAATACTATTCGTGTCCGTTACTACATTAAGCAGCCGCTTATACTTAAAGCTGCTCTAAATGATCGAACGCGTTATCTCTTGCGGCCAGTTTCGATAATATATTATAGAAACATCTCATTACTTCCATATAATACTGCTATGATAAATTATGGCGGTACGGCTGCGTATGGTTATATACGCGTTTTATAACATACCGTTTTTGTAAATATGGGTTAAGCTCAAGTTACATCTTTCGCTAGTTAGGACTAAAGTAAAGAATAGGGAACTGAAGCTTCCTTAGTTCATAGTAAAGCGTATGCTTTGGCTTAATGAATTTTTGGTTTAAGACTAAAGCAATCTCCTAGAATTCTAGCCACCTAGAAACTAGTGTGAATACACTACGCCTCTATAAAGTAAGTTACTAAGTGGACACGTTTAGCGTGGTTTTTAAGGGCTTGGTGCCCATATAAGACAAGGTTATAGAATCGATCTAGATATGGTATGCGACCGTTCCGTTCTAATACGCGGAGGTATTTCTTAAAATATTCTCTGGCTTTCCGTGGCGTGGCAAAATAGCACTAGAAATTAGGTTCGAAGACGCAAAATAGATAGTATCGATTTATTAGATAGATCGGACCATCGCGCGGCTTAGGCGACAAAGATTAATCCTGTTTTAAGTAAGACGTTACTTCACATAATAAGGTCTGATTGTCATTGGCCGTATACTAGGACTCGGTTTCTAATATAGTCCTTTCAGATGGCACCTTTTCGACTCAACCGAGGTTAATCAATGCATTGATCAGGATAATACGCTACCCTATATCGTCTTTCTTGGAAAGTCTTAAGAAAGCTAATTGCCTCTTAGTAAGCGACTAACTTTTATCGAGATCCTTAGGCTCCGTTTCGTTTTTAGTAGGATCCTGAAACGATAAGTGTATCAGTTCCGCAACCTAACAACGTTCTTTGAGATAGTGAACAATTACTTTCAGCTCGTATATACCCTGGTCTAGGTCTAGTAGCGAGGGGTCGAGTTGCTTGTTGATTTCTAGGGTATTAATTATGGCAAAATAAACCTCACGGGCGGTAATGAAAGTTCCATTCTTTAATGTTACCTTCTTTGTCCGCAGTAGAGTATCCGTCTTATCTTTAAGCTCCCCGAGCTTTGTGCCAGCAGCTTTGCTCAAAGATCCATAGAGTTCTTTAGCTTCCATAGTAAGAGCATCGCGCATTTACTTCAACTGTACGATCTTAGGGTGGTCTCGCCATATTTATTTCGCGGTCGTTAATAGATCCTTATAGTGAGATAGGGCTCGGGGGTCAATATAGCGACTTTAGTGACTGACAATATTCATCAACGCATCTTGCGAGGGTACGCTAAGGAAGGCGGCTTGAACATATATCTAGACGCGTTAGTTTATGTATTTCTAAAAGGTGCTAGCATAAGCGTGGCCTATCACCTACTAGAGTAAGGGGAGGGATGCCGTTTCTAAACAATACCTTAATGTTAGTCTTAATATACCACCTCACGCAAAATAGCATAACTTACTATCGACGGCTTCTCCAGTGCCGCGCCGAAGATCGTAAGGTCTTATAGCCCGAATCATCCCGATAGCTAAACTCAACTATTAAAGATAATAAAGGTAGGTATGGTACTTAAGAGGCTTAATACTATAGGTCTTTATTCCAGAAATAGTTAAAACGGGCTAACGGCAGATCGGCACATTCAGTTTCTCTAGTTTGAATTTCACTCTTAGAGAGCGACGAGGCGAGAGTACTCTGGTTTTAAAAACATCCTCAACAGAATTAATATTGGATTCGAACGCGTCATCAAGAATAGCTATCGCAAGGACAAGGATTATAACATCGAAGATGGGTTGCTTTACTTCCGACATTAAGAATATTTTTCTTCAAGATTTAATCAGTCAGATAAACACGACCCAAGCCACGAGTCAACTCACCTTTTTAGGTTACTATAATAGCCCTTAGTATATTTCAAGTCTACCTCCATAATAAGGTAGTCTTAGGCACCGCCAGGGTTTAGTAGCAAAATTAAGCTTATCTAACCGTAACAAAGAGTTTTAAGATCTTCAGACCTAAGGTCCTAGTTCTCTATGTCATACATGCCTTCGCTATCAGAAGAATTGCTGAAGAAGTACTGAACATTAGTTCGCTCGTTTTTCTTAACGTATACAAGCGCCCCTAGCCGGCTTGCGGTGTAAGCTAACACCAGCAGAAGAAAGGCTAGTTAAATAATTTGGCGACTATCAGGGTAGGGGGTCGCGTCTTTAGTCCAGTGGTAATAAAGGACTATATATAAGTCGTCGACGTTCATGACTAGTTTCTCACCAACAGACATATCGAGATTATAAGATAGTACCAGGTTCTCCTTCATAAACTAAGATCGTTTAGTTAGACTCTAAAGGAGTGCGAGGGAGAGTAGCTCACATTATTAATATCCTAGCAGCATTTTGCATAAAGACTACGTCCCACGGATTTGCGGTAGAGCTGACACCATAACCACTAGTTTTCGTGCAGGCTACTGAACTTCTTGATATTGTAGTTATCTAGTATCCACTCCAAGAATATCATAATATCGCCTTTTTTTACCGCAACAAGAAATTGGAGGGGGTCTTCTCCTAAAAAGGCACAATACCTAACTTTTTAGCCATAGTTCCAATAGGAAGAGTTTTCGTCCATATTTACCTTTTCCATTTTCTCTTAATATGGTCAATATTGTTTTTTGTAGAAATAGTATACCGCTTTTTAACGACGCCTTCCTCCAGATGGCGTCAACATTAGCGATAGTATTTAGGACCACGTATCTACTTCTTTCTCTTCCTCAAATCGCTAGCAATAGATATGATCCTAGATGCCAAAATGGCCAGTAGAGACGGACATAAAGGGAGAAGCGAAAACGACCAGGTATAGCAAAAAAAGCGATGGTAAAGACCGTCACTCTAAAGAGGTTAGAATATAGCTAGGCACAAAGTTTCTCTTTATATAGAGGAGATTAGATGAAGACAAGACTTAGCAGGGGAGTGAGTCCCTTAAATATTTAAGAATCGGTTATACCACGGACTATGCCCTTAGTAAGAGCGTATCCTAAAATTACATTAAGCGGCTATAAGCGGAGAACACATAGGATAACCTCTCACGTCATTTCTGATCGTTTACCCTAAGCATAGTGGATAGGGGTAAGCAATCTAACCTACTCATTACTCAGGGAGTACTCCCTAAGTGTCCATGAGTAGTCCATAAGCAGTCCCTAAGCACTCCCTAAGTAGTCCCTGAGCACTCCCTAAGCAGTCCCTGAGTACTCCCTGAGTGTCCCTGAGCAGTCCCTGAGCGCTCCCTAAGTAGACCCTAAGTGCTCCCTAAGCAGACCGGAGAAGTGGGCTAATCGGTATCACATGCATAAGAGATGACTCAGCCTCCAGTAAAAAGGGCGCCAGAAACGGCGTCCCAGGTAGCCATTTTCAGCGCCCAATTTACCGTTAACTAGCGTTAGGGTATAGGCTATCTACCTCATCAAGTAGATAAACTACTCATGACCGTTGTTGCAGGAATTGGAAATCGATAATCTTAGATATATTAGCAAACATTATACTTTAGAATTACTACATATAGTACTTACCTATCAGGCGCTCGATTTCATTCATAGCTATGGCATAGCGACCATAGGCAATTCTTGCTTTCACATCCTATTCCTATAGGCTAAACACGTCTTTCCTGACATCTCGACGGAATGCTTTTACTATAGCGACAACACCATCGCCACGTGGATCGCGACGCGATTTGAAGTGCATCATCATATAGTGGTAGGTATCCCTAAGTCTTTCCAGGAGAGATCTTCTTAACTTAGAGTCCCAAAAACTCTTAGCGCTCTTCCAATCTACCACTTATTAGCTCGGCAATTCTGAAATTCTTAGTCAGTGTATCAGTGTACCTACTATATCTATAACCAGGTGGTAGATATGTACTATTTTGGTCGCTTACGCTCATTTCTTAATATAAGCTTTATTTCTTTATTTCTTTTTGTCTCTAGATCAGCGTTTTAATCTTTAGTGAGATTAATTAGGCAGGAAGGATAGAATAGCTTTGGTAACCGAGAAGGCTGAATTAGAGGCGGCGCTATTTAAGTGGGCTCTTATTCATATTATATCTACTAAGGGATTGCCATCTACTCCGGCGAGCTCCGAAAAATGATAAGGTCTTAGAATTGCATATTGTTCTTGCCATGTAACGGTAACTACTCTCACCACTCTGCTGCCTAAGTTCCACCAAGTCTCAAAGGCCGGCCAATAGGGCGGTGATGCCAATAGCGGCGAAAGTATTTAATCCTTTAGATTTTTCAAGTGGAACCGCGGAGAGAACTTAACTTCTCCACCAGTCATACTACGCTAGAGTTTATTCACTACGTTAAGCTTTTATAACGGTGATAGAAATACCCTAGTAGCCGCTACTTCTTGATTTAATACCACAAAACCGCACGTATGGTATCGCGACATACGTCATCCCGAAATTCTATAAAAGTCATTAATTATCTTGCTCCTCGGTAGACTTCCTATGTGATACTATTCAGGTGTCCTTCATTCCTCTTTGCAAAATGAAAATTCAGCCACCTACACTAGCCCAAAAGCTCACGCAAGTACTTCAAAGAGCTCTAGAGCAAAAACCGACAAATTTAAACGATATTACCTCGCGTATTCTAGGCATGCTTGGATCCCCTTTTGAATATAACCAGAACAAAATCGCTTTCCTTCTATAGCAAAAGTGCAAGCTTAAAGAAAATTCAATTAAAGGTTTAGTGAAATCTTAGAGGGCGTATATATTCACTATCTAGTAGATCTTACTCGAAGCTAAATATTAATAGGATAATAGTTATTGTTTTATAGCGTGGTATGCTTCCTCATAGAAGTCACAAAACCAATACTAGAGTCTCAATAGCAGAGCACTGACATAGTGAAATGGCCTTAATACTTCCCATTCTATCTTATAACTCTCAACAAACTAGCTACTATCTCACGTACTGTTTAAAAGTATCATTAGAAAATGCAACCTAATTTCTCCGAAAGCTTAAAAGAATATTGGTCATTAGCCATTATTACAACAATATTAGGATATAGTCAACACCCCCTACGAAAGAGCGCGGAAACGATACTATACTCAGGCTTTCATTATTCCCAATCAATATATGAATAAAGATAATATTAAACGACTTAGTCTATACTAAAAGAGAGTAAATCGATAAGAATTATAGTAACACGCTATATAAGGAGGTTTAGCTTTAGATATAGCAAATGAGTTTTAACGGACCGCTCCATAAGACCAGCGATTTACCAGTAGCCGTTCATCATCCCATCGCAAAGGATACTAAACCCTCAATAAAGTAAAGTCATCCTTTTAATACATATAAGAATATCGGGGTTTGGAATATCACACTCACCCTTCACCACCCTTTAATGCTACTATAATAGAAGTTCTATTTAGACAGATCGTAGACAGGCAAAAATAATCCTATACTCAATTATTGAACATTAGCTATGGAAATGCCACAACCATCGTTTATCGCGAGGCCTTTATTAAGGAAAAGCGGCTATAGACTCAGACGACCCGCACTAACCCACTTTTCGTCGGTCGACCAGGTCACCAACATTATAAAAGAGCGTGTTGAGAAGTGACGCTTCGGTATTCGTACTATTAATAGGGAATGAATTGTGTGTTACTAAATATAGGCTAGCTAGTAAACCATTATATATATATATATGAACCTAGTCCTAATAAGCATCTCAGTGACTAGATATATAATAGAACGGTTATAGTGAACAAGAACTAATTATCACTAAAGTAATACCTACTATAGCAATCTAGTATCCATAACCTTTATAAATCCATTGGTATATCCAAGGCAGAACCTCCAAGTTCATATCGATTATTCTAGTGATCTTGCTAGTGATCTTGCTAGTGATCTTATTTAAGACCGAAGGCCTGTTTAATAAGCTACTACGCCTCTATAGAGTGGCCTCCTTAGTCCAATTTGAATTTGGCCACAGATACAGTGCCGTAACAATTAGCAGCGAGTAAAAGCCTGGTTGTCCATAGTGTAGTTTGGAAATCCCTCTTTACCACCCTCTTCGCCTCTCGTAACCCTCTATAGCCTTTGAATCCTATTAGTAAGTTAATTATGAGACTACCCCTGATATTCGAATCG